TTTGGTGTCATCAGCGAATTTAAACAGGTTACTTTCCACCCCATCATCCAGATCGCTGATGAAGAAATTGAACAGCGCAGGCCCCAGGACCGAGCCCTGGGGGACTCCGCTACCCACCTCCCCCCAGGTTGAATATGACCCATCCACCACTACCCTCTGAGTGCGACCCCTCAGCCAATCTGCAATCCATCTGACATTATTTCGGGCGGAGGGCTGCTTACCCAGTTTTGGCAGGCTGTCAAGGGCCACATGGGTAGCCCTGCCCCTTGACAGGTGCCCTTGCCCCTGGTCACCATCTTGGGACCAGTGTCCCAGGGCCAGCACCAGTGGAGCCCAAAGCAGGGCACAGGCTGGCAGGGGTCTGTGGAGCCAGACTGAGTTGCACCAGTAGGGAGAGGGGGAAGCTGGCCCAGCTCCATAAAGTCCCTGGTCTGGGCCCCGCCAGCACTGGCCCCAGGACACTGGTGTGGGCCCATGTTCCTGCTGGTCCTGCACCTGCTCACTTCCAGTGCCCCTCGGTACAGGTGGGGGGCAGTGCACAGCCCCAACCCCCTGCTTGCTGGCAGAGAAAGAGCTGGTGCTGAGCACGGGAAAAAGCAGCCCCTTGCCCGCCTATGGCTGGCACTCCCTGCTGCCGGCGCTCACAGCCCACGCGGGGCTATCTGGAACAGGCACAGGCAGCCCCCTGTGGGCTGCAAGCAGCTACAGCACAGAGCGCTGGCCACGGGGCAAGCTAGGGGCTGCTTTTCCCTGCACTCAGCACCAGCTTGTAACCCAGCCCTGCTGGGCTCTGCGCCAGCTCTGGGCTTGCCCATTAGCAGCTGCAGCTGTGGCCTCCCCGCTTGCCACGCCAGGCAGTGTTGGCTGCTGCTGCTGCCCACCCGGGCACACGCTGAGCAGCCCACAGGTGGTGGCGGCAAACACTGCCTGGCGTGGCAAGCGGGGGGGGGGGGCCACAGCTGTTTGCACCATGCGCAGCCCCGACAAGCGAGCCTGGACCCGGTGTGGGGCCCAGGCTGGCAGTGGGGCTGGGTTACAAAGAGGTGCTGAGTGCAGGGGGAAGCGGCCCCTCGCCCGCCCTGTGGCTGGTACTCGCATCCCACAGGGCTGTTCAGAGCAGGCACTGGCAGGCCCAAGTCTGCTGCTAGTGGCTGCAGTGCAGGGCACCAACCACGGGGTGGGGGAGGGGCTGCACTCAGCTTTTCCCCAGGCTCCTTCCCTGCCCTCCCCCACACTTAACTGAGGTTCTAGCGTAGGGCAGCCACAGGCCAGAAGCCTCTTGTGGGGTGGGGCCAGGCGGGCCCTGCTGTTATGGGAACCTGCCAGGCTTCCCTTGGGTCCTACTGCCCTTTGTTCCTGTCATTTTTGACAGGAACCAAGGGCGGGTGAATATTAATTTTCTAAATTTTTTAGGGGCCCCATGGGCCAGATAGAATGGCCTCGTGGGCCGCATCCAGCCCGCTGGCCATATTTTGCCCACCCCTGAGCTAGACTGTTTTCGGTGGTGGCAGGTAACAGAACATGGAGCAATGGTTTCAAGTCGCAGCAAGGGAAGTTTAGGTTAGGTATTAGGAAAACCTTTCCCAGTAGGAGGGTAAGTGAAGCACTGGAGCAGGCTACCCAGAGCAGTTGTAGAATCTCCATTCTTGGAGGTTTGAAGACCTGGCTAGACAAAGCCTTAGCTGGGATGATATAGTTGGGGATGGTCC